GGCTAGACCTGGTGGCTAAGGGGTCAGCATCTCACACACAATATTGATGTGGTAGTTGTTTTATGTAAGTGAGAGAGGAGGACGGGGTGCAGGTGTAAGAGACTCTCAATGGGGAGGTAAGTATAGAATAATATATAAGTAAGTAAGGGGGACGGGGTACAGGTGTAAGAGAATTATAATAGGGAGGTAAGTATAAGGTGTTTTCTATAAGTGAGAGAGGAGGATGTGGGTACAGGTATAAGAGAATTATAATAGGTAAGTAAATAAATTATATAATAGTAAGTATAAGTGTTTTATGTAAGTGAGAGAGAATGAAGGGGTACAGGTATAAGAGAATATAATGGGTAAGTATAAATAATATAATGGTAAGTATATAATGTTTTCTGTAAGTGAGAGAAGAGGATGGGGTACGGGTGTAAGACTCTCAATGGGGAAGTAAGTATAAAGTGTTTTATGTAAGTAAGAGAGGAGGACGGGGTACAGGTATAAGAGAATTTCAATGGGGAGGTAAGTATAAAGGATTTTATGTAAGTAAGAAAAGAGAGCAGGGTACAGGTGTAAGAGAACTGTAATAGGGAGGTAAGTATAAAGTGTTTTATGTAAGAGAGGAGGACGGGTTACAGGTGTAAGAGACTGTCAATGGGGAGGTAAGTATAAAGTGTTTTATGTAAGTAAGAGAGGAGGACGGGGTACAGGTATAAGATAATTATAATAGGGAGGTAAGTATAAAGTGTTTTATGTAAGTGAAAGAGGAGGACGGGGTCCAGGTATAAGAGAATCATAATGGGGAGTTAAGTTTAATGGGTTGGAGAGTACAGTGGTGTGAGGAGTACCAATGGTGTGAGGAGTATATTGATAAGAAAATAAGACAAGGATATGAGAGTAGGATATAAATGACAATATCAAGAGAAACGTACTGAATTAGAAGATATAGGAACAGAGTGCAAAATTTAGAAAGAGAAACAGAAACAAGAATAAAAATGAATGTTATGTTCCTCTCTCTATCCCCTCTCTCTCTTTCTATATCTATCTGCCCCCCTCTCTCTCTCTGTATCTATCAATCTATCTATCTCCCCCCCCCCCTTCTCCTCTCTCTCTCTCTCTCTCTCTCTCTTTTCTCTTTCTCTCTCTCTTTCTCTGTCTCTCTCTCTCTCCCTCTCCTCCCTCCCTCCCCCTCCCCCCTCTTCTCTCTCTCTTCTCTTCTCTCTCTCTCTCTCTCTTCTCTCTCTCTCTCTCTCTCTCTCTCTCTCTCTCTCTCTCTCTCTTCTCACTTGAGTGTGTATGTGTTTATGTCTGTACTGTCTTTCGAACAGTAAAAATGACTGTGCCCATAATAACTACAAAAAATGAATAAGTAAATAAATAAATAAAGAATAAAGGATAATGCAACGACAAAAGAAGAAGAAAGACCATATATATTTTTCTATTTATTCCTTTTTCTTCATTTATACGCAAGCAGCCGACTTAGCCTTTAATAATATACTAAGCATTCACGTTTAATGGAGGCGCGAGAACTGTCTAAATGATGCAGTAACTTCTTTGCATTTATGAAAAGTCAACACTCGCTCAAGATCGTCTAAAGTGACTTGACTTACCAATCTAAAGAGCTTCGGAAACTTTGATTACTAATTTACTTTGATAAACTATCATTGCTAAGTGTTGCAAGCTATATTCATATATTTCAGATATTACTCAGGTCTCACAGAGTTGAAAGGAAGTACTAACATGAGCTATATAGTCCCAAAGAAGTGATAAAGAAATATATATATATATATATATATATATATACTATATATATATATATATATATATATATATATATATATATATATATATATATATATATATATGTATATACACACACACACACACACACACAAATACATAATGATAATAGTGATAATAGCAAACACGATCATAATAATAAAGAAAGTAATGATGAATAAACAATGATGATAATTATAACAATTATAATCATTTTATAATGATAATAATGACAATGAGAATAATGATAATAACAATAAAGATAGAAAACAAAACCAAAAATAACAACATTAGCAACAGAATATGCACAATTCCAAAACGAGCAATACACAGATAAGCAATGTAATTCCCAAGAAAAAAAAAAATACTCCACCGAATGCTCAATTTATCATCGTCCTCGCAGATGTAATCTTAATAGAATCTCTGTCTTCGTTATGGAAACAAATTGGGTGTTTCCTCCAAATGTCAAGAATAGAATCCCGTCTTTGAATCCTCGATCTGTGAACACGCGCGCCTCCATAATGTACGTGAACAAAGAGCGGCTCTGTGCCTTCATTTCCTCTGCCAAAGCGGGGTTCTCGGTTTATCCAGCCTCGGGAATGAGGCAGCAGCCACCGAGCGGAGGAAGGGAGCTCTCCGGCTGCTGGCTCTTCGGTCGCTCGGCTTTCGGACTGGCGGTCTACCTGAATTTTATTATTATTATTATTATTATTATTATTATTATTCAGAGGGGGGT